ATAAAAAAAAAAATAAAAATGTAAAAAAAATGTTTAAAAATTATAATTTTTGGTTATAAACTAATTTGGATTTTTTTTTTACTAAAAAGATAACGGAATAAACTTTGGCCAAGATTTATGATGAAATATTATTTATTTGCAAAATTCTATAAACAAAACACTTTTTTTCAAAATTTTTGGACATTTTCATTTACATAGCAAAAAAAATTTAAATCCCAGCGGTGAATAAATACCACCAAAATAAAGCTTTATCTGTCTCAAAAAAATGGTAAAAAAATTCATTTGGGTACAGTGTTGCATGACCGCGCAATTGTCATTCAAAGTGTGATAGCGCTGACAGCTGAAAATTGCCCTGGTCAGGAAGGGGGTAAAAGTGTCCGGTCTGGAAGTGGTTAAAGATAACCTCAGGAGACCTTCTATAATGCCCAGAATGCACTGAAAAACAGTAAAAAAGATTAACTGTTTCAGACATTTTGAGAGAAATAGAGAGAGCAGTATTTGTTGAGATTAGCTGTCTTTTTTTTTTTGTGGTGTTTGGATGTGTTTGCAGCTCATTTCTGTGCAGAAATTATTGCAGCAGTGTCTTAACATATTTTCTTTCATGCGAAACCTCAAAGTATGGTGTACCAGGTCCAATTGAGTTACAGGAAAATGCTTTGCATGCATTTTTCATTATGAAAAAAGGTTCTGGACAGCATCTGGAAATGGGAGAGTAAAAATTTGTTTCCAACTGTAAACGCTTATAAACGTGGTTAGCCGCATTTACACGCATTTGCAAGCATTTGGCGTTCGAAACGCTAATAAAATCTACTCCTGAACGCAAGTCTGGTGCGTTAAAAAAAAACTACTGTAAACTCAACTGCCTGTAAATGACATAGTGTACATGGACACATAGGAAAACATTAGGGAGAGTTCAGGGGCTGCTGAAAAAAAACGCTGAAAAGCTCTTAAACGTGAGTTTATCAGCTGAAGTGTACATGGAGCCTAAAAAAAGAGGTGTGGGGTTTTAGTAAAATGTTAAACACAGTACATAAACATGTAACCTCTAGGATATACAAGATCATTATTGAACAGATGGGATCTGAACCTCCGGCATTCTTAGAGAAATGGGAAATAGAACTGGGTACAAAAATGAACGAGCAACAGAAGAATAAAATGTTCAAGTTAATGCACCAGGTGATATATGAATATGAATACAGTTGAAATGAATTATAAATGTTTAATAATAAATTTCACACCGAGTGTGGCACATAGACAACGAGTAGAAATTTCACCACTATGTTGGAGGGTATGTGGGGTAAGGGGGACAATGGCACATATATGCTGGGATTGCCCATAAATACAGGTGTTATGGCAAAACATAATTCAATATATACAGGAGATTTTGGGGATAACTATTCAGAAAGACCCATGGGTATGCCTATTTTATAGGTCAGAGATGTCAGTGAAACAATATAAAAATAGTATATTATATCATCTAATTAGCACGGCAAAAAGTCTAATTCCCATATTATGGCAGGCACGGGACCCCCCCAAAAATGAGAGATTGGATAGACAGGATTGAGTATATAAATAGGATGGAAGAGCTATACCATATAGATGAAGATAAAATGGATACATTTAGAAAGGATTGGAGTAGGTGGTATGATTTTAAGACATCCAAAAAATACCTTGAAGTAATGGGGGCCTGGGTAGTGGAGTTGGAGAATTAAACTGAATAACTGGATAGTGGAAAAATAAAGAGAGAAAACAGTGTTCCAGACATAGACAGGTAAACAGGGAAGGAAAAAGATGGAAAGAATTGCTTGGACAGGGGTAATTTAACGGGGAAGGGGGTGGAGGGGATGGGGGTGGAGAAGTGATCTGGAATGTATGTATTTTTGATAAATGATATATTGTTGATTCATGTATAGAAATAAAATGTAATAAAAGCTATAATAATAGTAGAATGTTAAACAATTACACACAAGCTGCCATGCAGTGCTTGACTTTCTTATTAGAAAACCCAGCATGCATTTCAGACTGAGCGTCATGTGTGCACCTGGTACTAAATGTGTCAGGGAATGGGAAGATCGCTGCGGCGATCGAATCCGCACATGCGTAGAGTCCTGACAAAACGTACCGGGCAAGCACTAGGACCCAGGAGTGCCTGTCAGGAGTCGGGCGGGCTATTTAAACCCAGCTCTTGCAATTATCAAGTGCCGTATGGTCTTTCCTGTGAGTTTACTTTGCTGCTGACCCTGCCTGATCCTGATCCGACAGGTGCCTCTACCACAGCTGGTTGCACCCAGGGGTCGCGACCTGGTCTCGGCTTGCTACAGGTCCATCCCCACCATCAGGGGCTCTGGTGAACAAGCAGGTCGGAACTTAGATTCCGCCCTGGGGAATTCTGGTCTGTGGAACGCTAGAGGCTACCACCGGCTGGTCCCTAACAAAATATGTATATGTAAAATAAATATTTTATACAAAAACATATAGAAATAGAATATATAACTCATCAGTTTATAAACCTGTAAACTATAAAAAGTTAACTGACCAGAAATATATTTTTTATTTAAGGGGGGGCCCATCAGAGCCTCTGTGGCACACATGACAAACAAGCTAAAGTCCAAGAGATCATTTCACCCACGAAAATAATTTAAATGGCTTCCAAAACTAGCAGAAAGGCCTTGACGTTGCACCACACTAACCTCTTTTTCTCTAGGTGTTTCAGAGGCGTCAGGATGGCTCAGTGGATTTCAACCGTGACTGGAACAGCTACGAGAGTGGGTTCGGAAGTCAGCTGGGTGAATTTTGGCTGGGAAATGCAAATCTCCATCGGCTAACTTCATATGGTTAGTAGACCATAATATGCTCCATAGAACTAGTCCACAAAACCCTATATGAACCACTTCCTAGACACCCTATAGCAGTTTAACAGGGTAACCGCTCTGTGAAAAATCACATATATATATATATATATATATATATATATAAATATATATGTGTGTGATTTCCGGGCAGGGTCCTACCTGTACTGTCATTGGCTCCCTTGGCTGTGAATCACTGGGTCCCAGCTAGGGTTGCCACCTCATCCCTTTAAAACCCGGAACATATATTAATTACACAGGTTCTGAAGCTAATTTAATGCAGATAAGGCACTAAGCGCGTTTTAATTACCACCTTAATCAGCCACAAAATCTGTGTATATAATATGTGTTCGGTTTTAAAGGGACAAGGTGGCATCCTTAGTCCCGGCCAACAAATAATGGCGGAGCAGCTGAAATGAGAAAGATCTGTGAGTGTAAACAAAACAGATCTCTCTGCTGCCAGCAGGGAAGTGCTGGTTTTTATCTCTGCAAACAGGGAGATAAAAGCCAGCACATCCCTTAGTAAAACAGTACATAATGTAATTACAACACAGTACACAGTTAACCGGTTGATTGCCCCAGATGTTAACCCCTTCCTGCTCAGTGCCATTAGTATAGTGTCATTGCTTTTTATTAGCATTGATCACAGTATTAGTGTCACTGGATATGTCAGTGGTAGTCAGTTCCCACCCAGTGTTAGTTAGTTTCAGAATGTCTGCTGTACTATCGCAGTCCCTCTATAAGTCGCTGATCACCGCCATTACTAGTATAAAAATAAAGAAATAAAGAAATAATCCAGTATATATACCGCCCATTGTAGACACAATAACTTTCATGCAAAGCAATTACTATACACTTATTGAGATTTTTTTTTTACCAAAGACATGTAGCAGAATACATTTTGGTCTAAACTTTTTAAACATTTTTTTATTGGATATGTTTTTTAGAAAAAAGTAAATAATATTGTTTTATTTTTTCATTTTTTTTTTCATTTATAACACAAAAAATAAAAAACCTGATGATGGTCAAATACCAAAAGAATGCCATATTTGTGTGAAAACAAATTACATAAATGTCATGTGTGTACAGTGTTGCATAACCATGCAAATGTCAGTTAAAGTAGTGAAGCACCATACAGCAAAAAATGGCCTGGTCATGAAGGGCGGTAAATTTTCCGGAGGACAAGTAGCTAAAGGGAACATGGGGGATGCCATTGCTGCTCCGCTGAAAATCCAAGTTGCCTGGTTGTCATGCTGATCCAATGGCTTCAGAACATTGAGTTAGTGACCCAAAACAAGTAAGCAGCAGATTGACTTTACTTTTTCTCATCTGAATTTACATGACCAAGTCCAAATTAAAGCCAGTGATAGCCAGGGAATTAGCATTTTTAGATGAGATCCACAATGGCAGCCCCCATACTTCTATCAGTACAGGATGACACACAAACTGTGGCACTACTAAGTACATTTATAATACAGAAAATCTTCCAAAGTTTATGGACACCTGTACTTTTATATTCACTCTACCTAAATCCCCCATCTCAACCCACTTTAATTAATCTACACTACATTAAGCCTTCACACATACCTGGTCAATCAAAGCACCTTTCCAATTGGGCTGATACTACTCATATCACCTGCAGAGGGTATTTAAAAAAGATGCCGTGAGCTTGTTATGATTGGATGACCTCAGCAAGCTTAGCTCCCAGGTCTAGCCTTTCTCCTGTCTTCTTGTTCTGTCCTTCGCAGGGAAATATGAACTGCGTTTCGAATTAAAAGACTTTGAGGGCAATCATACCTACGCTACTCATATAGCAACTTCCGAGTGGAGGGAGAAGCGGATCAGTACACCCTGCGCTATGATTCATATGTGAAAGGCACTGCAGGTAACTGTTTTCTCTCTAGTTTCTTTCAGGGCCATACTGGCATCCAACAACAGTCTTGGCATGGTATGATTTTCAATTACTTGGTGAATTTTGTCACCAGGAATTTGGTACATGGAATCTCAGCACCAATGGTTTGTACGTTTTTATTGATGACGTATCTTCAGAACTAGGCATCCGCACACTAGAAAATGTTGTTTCAATTTGTTTTCTGATCCAAAGGGGAAATTCCACTTTAAGCCTTTGTTGGGGGTACCCAAATTTGACAGGTACCCGCTCCCACTTCCTCTGTGATCACCAAGGTGATCGAAAGCGGAAGTCGTCCTCCCCCCTCCCTCCCCGTAGTCTTCTGGGACACATGACAGGTCCCAGAAGACTACGGGGCCATTCACAAAGTGCAGCACTTCTCGCTATGAAGCCGCAAGCTGTCACAGCCGGGTGCCCACACTGAAGATGCCGGCGCCAGACCGAGAAGACAGCTGGTGAAACCAGCGGTGGTGAGGGACACCGCCGGACCGAGGGACAGGTAAGTGGCTGTATTTTAAAAGTCAGCAGCTACAGTTTTTGTAGCTGCTTTTTTTTTGTTGTTTTCAGGTGTAACTCCGCTTTAAGTTATTATTATACAAGATTTATATAGCGCCAACAGTTTGCTCAGCGCTATATAAATATAATAGTGAAGAATTCATTTTTGGATGCAATTGTTATTGGACCAATTCATTTTCTGAATTTTTTTCATATCTTTGGCATTCGTTTCATTCAAAATAGCTCTGGTCCTTAACAACCATGACTCATCTGCTGTGAGCGGGATTCCCCGCTGTCAGCAGAATGTAAACCAAACAAATGCTGGTTTAATTTTCTTTTTGTTTCTTTAAAACAGCGTGGGCACCCCGGAATCCTACCAGACCCATGAGGGTCCCACCCCAATCCATACGAGGTCTGGTATGGATTTCAGGGGAACCCCAGGCCAAAATGTAAAAAAAAATTGCATGGATACCCCCCCGCCAAAATTTCTTCGGTCTGGATGTGGGGGAGGCCCCCACCATGTTTGTTTTTTTTTTTTTTATTAAATTTGTTTTGTGTACATTTTGCTGAAAACGGATACGTTTGGTTATTAAGGACGCAGTTACTGCCCCTTCCTTAGCAACCAACTTCTCAATGCATCCGAAATATATATTGTTATTTTTTTCTTCAGATTCATTCGAATTCATTACTATGTCTATTCGTAATTTTGGATACATTTCAATCTCCAAAAATGGAATTGTTGCCCCAAAAATTAAGTTGAACAAACAAAATTGCACATGTCTATTCAGAACTGGTGCTTTTACTACATGTGTTAATCTAGTGTTTCTCAGCCTGAATGCACCCTTGAAAATGATGTGCAATCTTAAGGCACCTCAGTAGCCTACCCCTTAGGAGTTGCAAAGTATTTGGGTCCCTATAGTCCTGCACAGCCAGGCAACATGCATTTTCACACAGAGAAGTCAGTAACCAGTTCTTGAGCTTTGTTTTTGAAGTTTTATTAGAGGAATTTGAACTTTTATGGGGTTTGGGGTGTACGGGATGCCCAAGGAATAATAACTGAGGACAACTTCCTGGCAACTATCTACAAGCCTATGAGATAAGATTATATTCTAGGAGAGCTCTCCAGCCTCTCCTGGTGTACCACCCCAGACCCCAGATAAATCCTCTTCTGCACTCAGCTACCTGGAGGAATCCCTGGGCAAGGGGAATTCAGTGGCTGGGTTAACAGTCCCAGAAATGGAGCTAGTCAGGTTTCCCACTAGAATGCTCCTTCCCCTATTTGGTCCAGGGGGTGCAGGATTACTAACTCAGTCCTTCTCCTGTGCTGCTGGTGAGTTGGTGGCTGCTAACAAGCCTTTTAGCTGGGCCGCTCCTTTTCCTGCTTCACAGGTGGTCCTCGCTCTGGGGAGGCGGTGAAGTCCTGAGTTTTTTCTTCCCAAGCGCCACAGACTGTAGGTGTGCCCCTCTTTCCATCTGGGCCCCCTCCCAGGCTCCTGCCTTACACCTCACTTCTCCAGCTTCGACATGAACTCTCCTCCAACTCTCTCCTGCAGCTGAGCAGGCTCACTCACTTTTAAGGGTTGTCCTGACCTCTTGCAAAGCGTCCTGTTGGGGATTGGCCAGGCTTCCTCAAAAGTGCAGAACAGCCACTCCTCATATCCACCCACTGCTTCTAGACCTTTCTCCAAAGTTCTAAAGCAGAGGGAAATTCCAGAGGGCTGGTCTGCAGACCCTCTCAGATCTGACTGCAATTTGACCCCTGTTAGCTATCACACCCAGGCTGCTACTCAGCCCTCCTAGCTAACAATTGAGGTCTAGCTCCCCCTAGCTGACTAGGAAGAAGCTACATCAGTTTAAAATATAAAAAAACTATATTATTATTATTATACAGTATTTATATAGCGCTAAAAGGTTTGCTCAGCGCTGTACATTATAGTGGGGGACAGTACATGAGACAATACAGTAACAATACAATACATGAGGGGGTCAAGGGCCCTGCTCTTTCGAGCTTACAATCTAGGAGACTATATCAATAGTTTTACATATCACAGCAGCAACAGGTAGGACAGTCTTATTGTAATGACTAGCATTCCAGCATTTGTCTTCTCCCTCACCCAGCTAACATGACTCCAGTGGTGAAGGAGAGGGACAGGGGGGGAGGGGTAAACAAGGACGTCCTCAGGTGCTCGATGTCCATCTAATCAACTTATGCTGTCATTGGTTGCTAGGATGCCAGCAGTGCCAAGGTTGTAGCAATTGCTGCAGAATAAAGACCTGTGACTTTGTGTATCATAAAAAGTCAGGCCAGATTCACCTGCTGGCTTGTTGACAATTTCTGGGCAACTTGAGGCAATTTTTTGGCATTTTGCCATGACAACTCTAAAACACCCAGACAGCACCTCAGGGTACCTCACCACCTAGGCTCAGCAAGGCTGTGTTAACCTAACCTTCAACCTCAACCCAACCACTTAAAGCTGGTAAAGTGGCCCATTCAGCACCTCAAGAATCCAGGGTACTGAAGAATGTGAACTTGACCATGATGGAGATTGAGAACCTGGCCCTGTTCACTCCCATCTGCTGTGCCTAACTAATAATAAGCCAGGTTGAACTAGCTATTTGCAAGCAATGTAAAAATGTGTGTTGGAAGGTGCAACATGGTAAATATGCAGACTCCGGTTGCAGGAAACAGTATTAAAGTCAAAGTTCAACTTTACAAATAGCCCTGCGGGAGGGCACCCAACCGGGAACAATCACAGCAATGTATAGGTGTGCCAACAGTGTCTGTTTCAGAGGGTGGAATGTGTCCTGGCTGGTCTGTAACCAAATAGAGGATTCCAGGAAGGATTGCCTGTTCCTACTCTGTCCCTACTTGTCTGCAACCTTTCCCTACCACTATTCACTTTTCCTGACAGACGAATGACCTTTCGCTACACTACCCACTCACAAAATGCATGCTAAACCCAGGGGCCAGGGTCTTAAATAGGCTCTGCCTGGCCCGAGACGGCTACCAGAGTCACATGGGATGGCAGCATTCAACCGTATAGCTTTCCCAGTGGCAGAGGAAACCAGTGACCGAGGCTTCCTCTGCCCCTGCAATTCTGCTGGGGTTGAGCGCCACCTGCAGTGGAAAAAGTAGACTGCACCTGCCTACATGTGACCTAACATCGGCCTCTTGCAGTCCCTGTAGCAGACTTGGTGGGTAACTAAGGCCCCACGTACCCTGGGTGTTTTGTGCAGGTGGAAGGCACAGGTGCCCTGTCTAGCCCCATTGCTGGCAGTCTGTAAAACGCTAAGAGGCTGGATGGTGTACCAAGCAATGCTAACTTTTAGGGCACTATGTGTACAGGGATGAATGCCTGGAATCCAAACTACTTGCCCTAAATGTTAGCACTACTTGGTGTACCATCTAGCCCCATGCAGCCAAAGCAGCTTTTAGCATCTCATAGGCTGCTGGAATTGGCTGCACACATGCTAATTGCTAAATGTGTACATGTGGCCTACAAGGTCTGCTTTAACATGATTACATTTCAACTGTGCTAAAAGATATCTGATTTTTATGGAATTGGAAGCATAGGTGCAACGTACACCCCCACTGCCAGCAGCTTGTCAAAATCCATGAAATATGTGGCAGCTGGATGCGTTTTGGGCCATATGCATACAGGATGTACAGTGGATATAAAAACTCTACACACCCGTTAAAATGTCAGGTTTCTGTGATGTAAAAAATTAGACAAAGATAAATAATTTTTCCACCTTTAATGTAACCTATAAACTGTACAACTTTGTTGAACAACAAACTGAAATCTTTTAGGTAGAGGGAAGTAAAAATAAAAAACTAAAATAATATGGTTGCATAAGTGTGCACACCCTTAAACTAATACTTTGTTGAAGCACCTTTTGATTTGATTCCAGCACTCAGTCTTTTTGGGTATGATTCTAAAAGCATGGCACATCTTGACTTGGCAATATTTGCCCACTCTTCTTTGAAAAAACACTCCAAATCTGTCAGATTGAGAGGGCATCTCCTGTGCACAGCCCTCTTCAGATCACCCCACAGATTTTCAATCAAATTCAGGTCTGGGCTCTGGCTGGGCCATTCCAAAACTTTAATCTTCTCTGGTGAAGCCATTCCTTTGTTGATTTGGATGTATGTTTTGGGTTGTTGTCATGCTGAAAGATGAAGTACCTCTTCATGTTCAGCTTTCTAGCAGAGAGCCTGAAGGTTTTGTGCCAATATTGACTGGTATTTGGAACTGTTCATAATTCCCTCTACCTTGACAAAGGCCCCAGTTCCAGCTGAAGAAAAACAGTCCCAAAGCATGATGCTGCCACCACCATGCTTCACTGTGGGTATGGTGTTCTCTTGGTGATGTGCAGTGTTGTTTTTGTGCCAAATATATCTTTTGGAATTATAGCAAAAAGTTCAACCTTGGTTTCATCAGACCATAACACATTTTCCCACATGATTTTGGGAGACATCAGATGTGTTTTTTCAAAATTAAGCCTGACTTGGATGCTGAACTTGTACCTTCCAAGTGCCTGAAAATACCGGAATTTGATGCACATGGGCCAAACTGCTGGTGTGCATGACACTTTAGTCAGACAAAAAGAGCTACAAAACAAGCTGCTTTGTTATCTATTAAATGTACACTCACTTTATTAGGTACACCTGTTCAATTGCTTGGTAACAGAAATTGCTAATCAGCCAATCACATGGCAGCAACTCAATGCATTTAGGCATCTAGACGTGGTGAAGACGACTTGCTGAAGGTCAAACTGAGCATCAGAATGGGGAAGAAAGGGGATTTAAGTGACTTTGAACATGACATGGTTGTTGGTGCCAGACGGGGTGGTCTGAGTATTTAAAAAACTAGTGGTCTACTGGGATTTTCACGCACAACCATCTCTAGGGTTTACAGAGAATGGTCCAAAAAAGAGAAAATGAGTGTGAGTGGCAGTTGTGTGGATGAAAAAGTCTTGTTGATGTCAGAGGAGAATGAGCA